ACTGTATTTTGAAAGTTTATTTTGTAATTTCAACTATAACATAAATTAGTTCCTCACATTTGTATGTTTGTATCTCACCAAAAATAACTTTTCGAGGTTGTGTAATGTACTTTTTTTTGGCAAATTTTGATGATTCTTTTCACTTTTAATATTTTGAAGAAAACATTGTTGAGAACAATACATGATATTGATGCTATGTTATCTGACGTGTTTTTTATCTTGTAGATTTTTTTAACGATTTCTAATGTAAATGTCTCGTGTATGAATTTAGATACTAAATTAGAATTTTTTTTATTAATAACCATGTATTAAAAAAATATTTCGTAAATAACACGGGTTTCGGAAAAAATTACGCAAATAACCATGTTTGAGATGGCTCCACAAAGGAGGAGTCATCTCAATTGGCGCATGCACCTAGGGTTTTGCCCTAGGCGCCATCTCACTTGGCGCCTCCCTTGTCTTTTAGCCAAGTGAGATGGCGCATGCTCCTTAAAAATGAGAGGAGGCGCCATCTCACTTGGCGCCTAGGGCAAAACTAGGGCAAAATGCTGTTTTATAAATAATTCGTCCGTTTCTTTGAAATTTCTCACACTTTCTCGCAACTGTATTTTTATTTTGTACTCCATTATTTGCGTAATGACGTCGCCTATGATTTTTAGCAGAGATGGCTATGTTATATTCTCCGCCACGAAACCTGCGATGAAAATGAAATTCTGGCACATTCACTCCATGGAGCGTCTGAAGCGGGAGTTGATGCGGTGGCTAGATGGAGACATCGCGGAGGGGGGGAAAAATTCGAAGGATCCAGCAAAAATGAACAACAACCCTCGCATGCGACAGGAAGACCTAATGTGTGGTTGAAGGAAGTCAAAACAGACAGTGATGTAATGCTGATGATGCATGGGTCAGATGAAATTGTGTTAACAAGTTGTAATTTCCTAGATTGAATATCGTTAATCATTGTTGTACGCGAAAACCCTAATGTAATTTCCTATATTGAATTTCTTAAATTGTGTTAACAGTTTTATTAACGGAAAACCCTAATGTTTACAACACAAATATTGAAAAGATTTATTGTATTACAATATTTATGTGGTCGAGCCAGACGCCCGATTCGGACAGTTTTTGCGATTGTGTCCGACCTGACGGCATAAACCACACTTTCTTTCCAACCTGTCAAGATCGTCCATTTCTGTTGTGATGCGCCTGCTTTTGGGGACGACCCTTCTTGTTCCTTCGCATTTGGTCATTGTGCCAAACTATATCGCCGTTGTATTCAGGCCAATAGTCCGGTTTTGCCACCAAAGGAAAGTTGTTGTTGTAAACAGTGAGCAACGTTTCAGATTTATAAACGTTTGAGAGCAGTTGAAGCGCGTCTTGATGGGTATGAGCACAAGCGGCAATGACATGAGAGCAAGGCATACGAAATGCTTGAAACCTGCCACAATCGCACCATTGAGAAGGTAAAATGACTCTGTATTCTTGTCTTGTCAGGCCTTCATTGTGGTCGATTGTCTCTTTCACAATGAAGTTGTGGCTGTATCGGTCAAACCGTGTAACCAATGTGAGTGTTGGCTTTAGCACTTTCAGCCTTAATGTATTTCATACAGCTTTTCAATCCATAGTTGTCCTGATTGCAAGACCGCATACCACATTTCACCTCTTTTGGCAAATAACGCAGCCATCATAAAATACGTGGATTTTACCAAGGCAGTGATTGGGAGGTTTCGTATGCCCTTGAATACCCCATTCATTGATTCAATAAGATTTGTTGTCATATGCCCCATCTTTGGCCATTGTCGTATGACCTAGTCCACTTTTCGACCGGTATAATTGTTGATCCACGTATCGGCTTCTGGATTATACAAACGGATCTCGTTGCGGTAATATTTGAATGTGGGTTGTGTCAATGCGTATCCCGCATTCATCACCTCTTTCCTCAATGTTTTGTCCTTGACCTCCCTCGAGAAATTCTGGACGATATGCCTGACGCAATAGACATGCGTAGAAGGAGGGTCATGCCAACCATTTGCTGGATTATTATAGGCACTTTCAATGGAGGGCATGTCTGTCCGAGATCAAACAGAGATCTGGTTGAGGAGCCACGTGTGTACGAAGATTTTTCAGGAAAAAGCTCCAAGCACCACCCGGTCTCCCCCCTCGACAAGGACAAACGCAACGGGGAAAATGTTATTGTTGCTCATCTTGTGCAACTGCCATCAATAGCGTGCCTTTGTACTTCCCATACAACCAAGTCCCGTCAATTTGTAGAATTGGTTTGCATGATGAAAACCCTGTGATGCATGGTTGAAATGCCCAAAAACACGCGACTGAATATTCCGTTGCCATTGCAGTAGACTACCATCTTGGGCATTGGGCGTACACGCTGGGCAATGTTTCCAGAACATAAACACTACCTGGAGAATATGTCTTGAGTGCATTTAGGTATCTTTTTTTTTCTCAGTATTTTTTGTATCCATTTTTTTTACTGTTCTTTTAATGTAAAACAGTTGAATGTAATTATTTTTTTTTAAATAAAAAATTCATTTTGTTGATCTCTGTCTAATAGGCAACGCACAGGAAAGAAAATAAAAAAAAAAATTTGCCCTAAATTTGTACATAGGCGCCATCTCACTTGGCTTAGGGCATGCCCTAAGCATTTAGGCCGCCAAGTGAGATGGCGCCTCCCTTAAAAAAGGAGGTGCATGCGCCAATTGAGATGGCTCCTCCTTTGTGGAGCCATCTCAAACATGGTTATTTGAGTAATTTTTTCCGAAACCCGATTATTTACGAAATATTTTTTTAATACATGGTTATTAATAAAAAAACTCACTAAATTATGATAAATTTGAAAAATAATGTCATTGATGTGTTGTCTTTTTACTTATACCTTTATTTGATAGATTATATTCTAATCTATTGAGATGCAAAGTAACTTACTTTGTAAATATGATATATATTTATTTATATAATGCAAAATAATTTACTTTTTAAATATGGCATATAAATGTATTTATATAGCATCATATTTCACATCCCTAATATTTATTATTTCTATTTTCTAATTATTTGATGAGTTATATCATTATTATTTTTTAAGTGGTAAATTATATCTAAAATATCTATTTTCTCATTAAAAGTCAGTTTTAATACAACATTGATATTGTCTTTTCATTTATGGTCACTTTTCATTTAACAATGTGATCTCCATCTTTCCATTTACCATCTTTCCATTTATCAACGTGAACGACATAATTATATTGGACTACGGGTAATTAAACTACATGTTCCAAGACTATTATTATGTAGGTTGAAAAAACATGTTTAGATTGAAATATAGTTGTTTCAATATTCAAATATATAGGGGTAGGTTTTATGTATTTAATAATAAAATTTTACACCTTTTAAATTGATTACAAAATCGATGAATATTATTATAAAATAAAACAATACTTATTGATTATTATTATTATTATTATTATTATTATTATTATTATTATTATTATTATTATTATTATTATTATTATTATTATTATTATTATTATTATTATTATTATTATTATTATTATTATTATTATTATTATTATTATTATTATTTATGTATATTGTGAAAACAAATATTATGAGTTAAAAATAAAACAAAACTCATTAAAGTGTTTTTTATCATCCTAAAATAATATACGCAGGTTTATTTATTTTTAAAAGAAAAATTTATGTTTAAAACATGACAATAATTAATAAAGTTAAAGGTTAAAATATAAAAGTTGCGTAGCAATGTGGAATACATACAAAAGCGTAAGACAATAAATAATTGATCTTTTACTAATGCTTTTAAAATAAAAAATTAAATAGTTAAATTTGTTATTTAAGAGAGTCGCAAAATGATATGTTTAAAATTTGAAACTTAACTGTGTTTAAATTTATTTTCTATTAGATGATAAAATCATATGATATCAATAGCATACACAAATTTACAATACACAAGAATTTAAAAATTATAAGCATGTCCGACGGGCCGAACCAGTTTTTTCGATGGGCCGACAAAATATTTACTTAAATTTAACACACATTAGAGATCATATGTTTAATGACTTCTGAATTAATATATCCTATAACTTCTTAATTTCTACACAAATTTAACAAACATAATATTATTCAATTTATTAAATCTAATCAAATTATTATAATTTTAATTTGTTACTAAACCAATATGTTTTTTTGTGTGTGTATAATATGTTTTATCCTGACAATTATTACAACTTAATAAATTAAATTAATATTTAAATGATAATTATCAATGAAATATTTTTTTCAGTTAATTCATATATATTTTTATATAAATTTCTTAACTATAACTATATAATATTTATTAAATATTTATATCGATATAATATTTATTAAATATTCATATTGACTTTTCGCAACCCGCACGAACACACAGATCATTTACTAGTTCATTACAAAACAAACGTGTACATTTTATGTTCACCTCATTTCTCTAATATTAATACTACATCTCCACATGCTATTGTCACTTGTTATTTATTACAAAACAAACATGTACATTTTATGTTCACACTCATTTCTCTAAAATTAGTACTACAATCTCCACATGCTATTGTCACTTGTTATTTATTACAAAACAAACGTGTATATTTTGTGTTCACTCATTTCTCTAATATTAGTATTACATCTCCACATGCTATTGTCACTTAGTTATCTACTTGAATATATAAAAATTAAGTATTATTAAAAGTATTTAATTATTCAAACTAAATCTATTTTAAGTGTATTTTTTATGCCCCTAAATATAATTATCTATTAAAATCATTCATTTACCTTAAAATCTAATGAATCATATTGTGTTTATTAGAATAAGTAATATTGTAAACTATAATACGTAGTCTTCATCATTCCCAGCATTGGGAAATACCACTTATTTGATGGCATTGTGTTTAAAACAGTAACGTTCCAATTCCTAAACATGCATCTATAAATTCATTCTCCTAACCTACATTTATCTAACACTTGCTTTTCTATTAATCAATTTCATTCTATCAAACAGCACGGTCTACTTCTCTTTTCATCTTCCCCGTCTATTTTCTCCGCCATTATTCGAATTCAAAATACTTCTTCGATTATGTTTTTTTCTTTACTTAATATTTGAAATCATTTTGATGATTACGTAAACTTATTACATAGATGAAAGAGATTTTAGGTTGGCAATGGCATGAACTGCATTTCGAAAGTTTATTTTGTAATTTCAACTATAACATAAATTAGTTTCTCACATTTGTATGTTTGTATCTCACCAAAAAATTACTTTTCGAGGTTTTGGAATGTACTTTTTTTTGGCAAATTTTGATGATACTTTGTCACTTTTAATATTTTGAAGAAAACATTGTTGAGAAAAATACATGATATTGATGCTATGTTATCTAACGTGTTTTTTTATCTTGTAGATTTTTTTAACGGTTTCTAATGTAAATGTCTCATGTATGAATTTGGATACTAAATTATGATAAATTTGAAAAATAAATAGGTTATATTCTAATCTATTCAGATGCAAAGTAACTTACTTTTTAAATATGGTATATATTTATTTATATAATGCAAAATAATTTACTTTTTAAATATGATATATAAATGTATTTATATAAAGCATCATATTTCACATCCCTAATATTTATTATTTCTATTTTCTAATTATTTGATGAGTTATATCATTATTATTTTTTTTTAAGTGGTAAATTATATCTAAAATATCTATTTTCTCATTAAAAGTCAGTTTTTAATACAATATTGATATTGTCTTTTCATTTATGGTCTTAAATAGACTTTTCATTTTTCAACGTGATCTCCATCTTTCCATTTACCATCTTTCCATTTATCAACGTGAACGGCATTATTATATTTGGACTACGGATAATTAAACTACACATTCCATGACTATTATTATATAGGTTGAAAAAACATGTTTAGATTGAAATATAGTTGTTTCAATATTCAAATAAATAGGGGTAGGTTTTATTTATTTAATAATAAAAAATTTACATCTTTCAAGTGACCAAGACACTCATTTACTACTTGCAACAACATGACATAAGCCAAGATTGCAAGGAGTTGTTATCCACACTGCCAATAGAAAAAGGTTGGCTTACACCTACCATGCATCAATATCAAGGATTCTGGTTTTGTCCCAAGAGGCTCCATTGTGTTTTATCTTGTCTAAAGAGTTTTCAAGCTTTTGATACTGATATTCCCTTTTAGCCAATAATTTCTTATTAAGATTATCTACTAATGAGTTAAGTGTTATATCTCATATAATATTTGACAAAAGCAAGGAGTGTATAAAGTTATTTGATAGGGCTAAAAAGTAAGGATCTCCTTAAGATAACAAGTAGTGTGTGTTTTTCACCGGTTCTTTGTAGCTTGATCTCCATTACTGGTGTTTATTTGTACGTGTCTATTGCATGTGTGCATTATGTCATCATGTCTTTTGATGTGATTTACTCTATTTTTGGCTAAAAAGGGGAGTAAAAGTGTGAAGTGTATTTGTGTCTTGATGACATGTTTCAGTCTTTGTCTTTAGTAATCTGTTTAGTTTGTGCTTTTGTGTATGTGTGTTCTTTGTGCTACTGATAAGAGAGGAGTAGTCTCGTGTATTTATTGTTGTATGCAACTGTTTAAGGGGAGCATGATTTTATGTCATACTTGTGTGCTTCTGGTGTTACTACTGCTAATGTGTCTTATGGAATACGGAGATGTCGAACCAGATGTTTTGACATTCTGTTAGTTGTTTTGATGTGTGAACTTGGATAGCTCATGTCTGTTATTCTGAGGGGATGAGTCTCAGATGTGTGAATTTGGATAGCTCATGCAGGTGATTTGGGTTTTCCTTTGTTCTGGTCTAGTGATTTTTCAGGTTAGTTTTCTTGTGTTGTGTTTTAGAGGGAGTAACTTGGATGGTTCTGAAGATGCAAGTCATCTTCTTCCTCATGTACAAAGTTTACATGGTTAGCATGTAGCTTGTGTTTTGTGGTTTTATTCCTCTCTTCAAGGTTTATTGTGAAAAGGGTGTTTTAGTAAAAATTTGTCAAAGGGTGATATTGTTAGTTCCATAGTTTTATGATTGGCTAAATTTTGGTAAAAACATGGTTCTATACTGATATTGAGCAAGATGTTGTAACATGTGCATCAGTTGTCATGACACTTTTGCTATTGTGGGTTTTTTAACCAGATGTCGAAGTAGATGTCATGACATCATGGTCTGGTACAACAGGTGTTGTTGTTTTATATCTCTTGACATATTTGATTTTATAATTTGAGATTCCTTTTGGCACGAGTATTATACCGGTGGATCAGCTTATCTTCTATAAAGATGAAGGAAAACGAATCAGACTCTGAAAAATTTGTAGAAAGCAATGATGCATAAAATGCATGTGTAAAATATTTGATTAATTAATTCTTTTGAGTTTTCAAGTAACTAACAAATTATAAACATATTGCAAACATCATAACTAATAACAATTAGAAGGGAAACTTGAACTTTTATTTCATTGAAAAAACTGGAAGGATTACAATTTCAGTACATAATTTTAAAGTAATTCTAAAATATAGAATCTGAGGGAACTACAACTAAAGCATATCCATCTCCATGCTGTAACTTCTCCTTGAGCTTCCTGATCTGAACTTCAAAGGCACTCTTCATTTCAGCATTTTCTTTCAAGATCTTATCAACAACACCTTTTCAAGCGTCTGACCTAAAATGAGTATCATAAAGCTCTTTGTTAGGTTGAGATAGTAGGTTGTTGGAGAAAAATGAATCCTCTTGAACCCTCTTCCTTTTCTTTTTGTGTTGCTGAAGTAAGCCATCCTTCTGGCGAAGCATATCATCTTTCTTTTTCAATTGTCTTTGCAACTCAAACTTCTCTACAATTGAAGCATGAAAATTGTTCTCCCAAACATGTCTTTCTTGCTTCATCTGAGCCAAAGCAACTTGGAGTCCTTCGGCATCTTCAACTGGAACAAGAGTGGATCCTATGACTTTAGGGAACATAGGTTCTTCAGAAGGATAAGGCATCTTGATCTGAGTCGCTCTTGCTTGCACCCACTGAGTGTAAGGATCCAGGGCAACACAATTCTTATTTCCTAATTCATCCTTTCCTTTTCTATGAATCTTATGTCAGGCGCAGACTATCTTATCCTTAAAATCTTGCTATAAACACCTTTTTGAATGAAGAACCCTTTCACGAGAATGTTGCCTGATTTATCCTACATAGCATACTCAAACTGACATCGAGCCAAAATCGAATTGTAGTTGATATCTCCTTTTATACCAAGAAGAAGTACATTATAAAATTCACCACAAATATCAATAATCTTCACGTCATCGTAGACTCCATAATACTAAATCAAATCTGAGTTGATAAAAGACATTAATCCTATGAGACGACCTCAAATAATCAAAACATTCTTGTTTTATATATGATGATATAAAACTAGTATACATTGAACTCTTTAATTTCGTTTCAAATATAAAAGAATAAAAACAATTATAGTGGTCTGGTCCAGTTACTCTTCTGATTTCGCCATCAAATCACCTTGGCACATGCAAATATCAAATATCAAATGGTCCAAGACGTGTATAAATATTTTATCTTTTTCGTTTATCCTTTTTTGCCACTTGGTTATTCAATTCAATCATGTACATTTTATGTTCACTCATTTCTCCCGAATTGTACATGTTTGTAGACACCAAAGATCTTGGGTCTTCAATTGAGAGATTCATCTTTGCCACTTCATGACATGCCAACATGGAAAATGGACCTATAAAATCAGGAAAGGAAATTAGGAATAAATTAAGAAAGTTTGTTTCTTCATCTCTTCACTACGATTTATAATTTTTTTTTTAATGGGTATTTCTCATGCCAAAGATATTCTTGGCAGAATTCAACTCCTCTACAATCTTTTTTGATTGTTTAGCACACAAAAATTATAATACAAAAAGTCTTAATGCATTAAATAAAAATTGGTTTAAATAACTTGCCATATAATATCATTTTAAATATCCTACATTTTTGCTACAACTTTTTTAGATAATTTATTCTAAAGTATTATATTATATATATATATATATATATATATATATATATATATATATATATATATATATATATATATATATATATATATATATATATATATATATATATATATATATATATATATATATATATATATATATATATATATATATATATATATATATATATATATATATATATATATATATATATATATATATATATATATATATATATATATATATATATATATATATATATATATATATATATATATATATATATATATTGATTCCAATCACCCCATATTAACACCTTCACTGTATTATACACCATGGAAAAATTAAGTGATGAAAACACTCTTGTACCAAAATATTTGCAAGAAGATGATTTAGGCGAAGAATGTAAGGAGTTGTTAACCACATTGCCATCAGAAAAAGGTTGGATTTCAACTCACTTATATCAATATCAAGGATTTTGGTTTGATCCAATGAATCTCCAAGATGTTTTATCTTGTCAAAAGCACTTTCAAGCCCTTCATACTGATATTATCTTAGTCACTTTTCCCAAATCAGGTACCACTTGGCTAAAAGCATTGTCTTTTGCTTTGATAAACCGCAACAAATATCCAAATATTCATATCAACCATCCTTTGCTCACTACCAACCCTCATGATCTTGTTCCTTTTTGTGACAGAGATTTTGTTTCTGATTTCAAAACAATATCTCATCCAAGACTCTACTCTTCTCATTTACCATATGAATTATTGCCAAAATCTGTGAAAGACTCAACTTGCAAGGTGATATATCTATGTAGAGATCCTAAAGACAATTTTGTTTCATTGTGGCATTTCATAAACAAGTTAAGACCAAAAAGCAGTATAGCATTTCCATTCGAAGAGGCATTTGAGAGTTTTTGCAGAGGAGTAAGTTTTTTTGGACCTTTTTGGGAGCATGTATTAGGATATTGGAAGAAAAGTTTAGAAAGTTCAGAGAAGGTTATGTTCTTGAAATATGAAGAAATGAAAATGAAACCTGATTTTTATTTGAAAGAGATTGCTAAGTTTTTGGAGTGTCCATTCTCCAAAGAAGAAGAATCTAGAGGTATGGTTGATGATATATTAAATTTGTGTAGTTTTGAGAAATTGAGTAACCTGGAAGTCAATAAGAATGAAAAAATGTCTTATGAAATTGAAAACAGATTTTTTTTCCGTCTTGGTCAAGTTGGAGATTGGAAAAATCTTCTCACAACAGATATGAGTGAGCGCATAAACACTATCACAGAAAAGAAATTTGTTAAACATGGACTGAGTTTCTAGAATAAAAGAAATTTCAATCAATATTTACCTTGTAACATGTTTTATTTTGTTGAAGTCACGTGATTTTGTTCATGTCTTGTGTTGCTTTGATTTGGTTCTAATATTTGTTTGTAACTTTGTAATTGTGTGTTAATTTAGGAGAGACTTTGCACAAGAGATCTTGTGCTACTTTGCTCTCCCATCAATAAATTTTTGCTTATTAAATTTTTTGCTTTTTATTAAATTTTTTATTTTTAATTATTTTTTATTGTAGATATATATCATATTTGTTAAAATTTATATAAACTCTATCCAATTATACTCATTAGAGTAAAGACTCCTCACACCAAATTATATTATTGCCTTCAATCATCTTTATAAATAAAGCTTCTCATGTTAATTAATTTCTACAGTAAATACGATGTACCTTTAAGATTTATCTTTTTTTATCATTACTCTTGAGGATCTAAATGAAAGTGCAATTTTTTATTTATTTATGAATGGCTAATGTTTTGTTAGAAAATGATAACACAAAAAAAGAGTTAGTGGACTATATCAAAACTCACTCAAAGGATAAAAATCTTTAAAATAAGATAAAGCAAATCTACTTTTATCCAAGACATTTTTAAAATATATATTTCCCTAATTAGGGATTGAGATTCTCTAATTTTAGGGAAAAAACTTCCCTCTAATTTTCTCTCTATCTCTCTCTTATTACATATTCTCTCTCATCATATTTCCCTCCCCTTTCTTCTTTTTTCTCATTTTTTTTCTTTAAAAAATTGCTTAAAGTCACCAAATTTTGAGAAGGCAACCTTAGAGAATCCTACTCCGAGAATTAGAGTTGAGACCTATATTAGTAAAAATATTTGCTCCACATTTATCTTTTTTTATATATGTGATCTGAGTATACCAAAATTAAATATTTTGAACACCAAGTAAGAATCAGATTCAATCCAAAGATTATATCAAGATTAATCATTAGCTACCTCTATGACTCTCAAAACTCCACAAAATTTTGCAAAATAAAAAAAAATAGTGCATCCAAGATGAAGGCTCGACAAAACTAAGAAAAAATCACCTAAATTATTCGTGAATATCTCTTCATCATAATCGCATTTGATTCAACTTTGCAAAAGGAGAATGTCAAACTACTTCCTCGGTTAACATAGCACAAGGGGAGGGAATGAAGACTTTAAAAATTTTTATAATTGAGAAGTATGACAGAGAAGCCTCGGTGGGGAGCTTAGAGTTATTACATATGAAGTTAACTTGAGCCAATATCTTAGAGGCGACACTATAAAAAGGAGTGTAATGATTGTTGAACTAAGTCATGTTCAAGTTGGCAAAATTGCATTGATTATGTTGATCATAGCATAAATGATGACCTAGGAACGTTGAGTAGGCATGCCTTTATTAGAAAAAACCACAAGTGTTCAAGATAATTTAACTATTTAACAAGATAAGGGCACTCAAAAAATAAGTGAAAGTGGATTCTTTATGGTCTTTACACGGACTGAAGGTTAAGGTCATTGAACAATCTTAATTTCAACATGTCATTTGTGGGAATGTTGTTGTGCATTAGACTCTATGCCACCATAGATTTCGAAGGTGGTATGCCCCAGGATCCAACTAATTTAGCCTAGTCGAGCATAAGAGAAGTTGGAGATTTAAGGGTATAAGCTTTTTTAAAAGTCAAGTCACCTGAATAGGTTTCTACAAAAGATTTGATCCTTGAGATGTTGGAAATGAAATAGGTTGAGCCACTTAAAGGAAAATGGAACTGGTTTTCAAGAATAAAATGTGCCATAGTAGAATTTAGGAAAATGAAAGGCTTTCCAAACTAATAAGGTTATTTTCTTGCAAAAGAGGCTCCCCATGCCTAGAGCCTTTCTATAAGTTAATGGAAGATCCATCACCAAACAACCAACTGGTTTGTCTAATCAAAAGGTTGGATTTATGCTTCATGTTAGACCAAACATATGAAATAATGTGATGGTTAATGGTACCAACCTTTCTTAAGACTCTAGATTACAGGAGCTAGGCCCAAGACTCTTAATTTTTCCATCAAATCCCATTCAAAATTCAAATTAAAGTCCTCATTTAAACATACAAGAACTATCACCCCTAAACTACCATGAGAATACAAGAAGTCCTACACTTTGCATGCATAAAATACTTTTGGAAGAAAAATGCCAAAAACAATAAAGAGTGCCAAAGAAGGTTTAATCCCATAATGAAGAATGTAGTGAATAAGGAGATCATCAAATGGATAGATGTATGTATTATCTACCCCATTTTTTAGCAGTGTATGAGTGAATCACACTCAATATATTGCAAAGAAGGGTGGTGTGAATGTCATTAAGAATGAAAAAAAAAGAGCCTATTCCTTTAAGAGCGGCTATTTGCTAGAGAAACTGTATGGATTACATGAAGTTAAGCAAGGTTACAAGGAAGTACCATTACCCTCTTCCAATTATTGACCAAATTCTTTATTGGCTAGATGGAAAAGAGTTTTATTATTTTCTTGATGGATATTCAGGCTATACTCTAATAGCAATAGACCCTGAAAACCAAGTGAAGACAACATTGACATGTCCTTATGGAATATTTACATTTAGATGGATGCCATTTGGGTTGTGCAATGCTCATGCAACATTTCAAAGATGCATGATGGTCATCTTCTCTGATGTCATAGAAAGCTCCATGAAAGTATTTATGGATGACTTTTCAGTATTTGGAAAGTCATTTGAAAGATGTTTGGATAATCTGGAGTTGGTGCTAACAAGGTGTGAAAAGAGAGCAATTCAGTACTAAATTGGGATAAGTGTCACTTTATGGTCAAAGAAGGAATAGTCTTAGGCCATAGAATTTCTAAGGTGGGGGTTAGAGGTTCATCAATCCAAAATTGAATTCATTGAAACACTATTGGCACCCTCTAATATTAAGGGGCATAAGAAGCTTTCTTGGTCATGATGGATTGTATTGGAGGATCAAAAGATTTTTAAAAAATTAAAAAACCTCTATGTTATCTACTGCAACATGATGCGCAATATGTATTCAGTTTTTTATGTGAAAAAAATTTCAAGTCATTTGAACTCATGTGTGATGGAAGCGACTTTTCCATTAGAGTTGTTATTGGGCAAAGGCATGATAAGGTGTTCCACACCATTTATTATGCTAGCAAGACACTAATAGAAGTCCTGATTAACTACACAACTATTGAAAAGGAATGTTGGAATTGAGACTTCACACACAAGAGAAGTGTGATTTATGTGGTTTATAAAAACATAGTTTTGTAAACTTTTGGCAAGTTAAATTAGACTTTGAAAACAATTTATAATTGTAAGCAGCGGAAAATAAATATTTAAAGTGTAAAAATTAAAGAATTAAAGGAAGAAGAAGACCAGGAATTATAGATGTTCGTCCAAAACAAAAAGGACTTACTCCTCTCCCCAGGATCTGGTATTGAGAGTTTCCAATAATAATTGAGAACTTTTAGTAGGAAAGACTCACTAACCCCCTTATATAAGGATATAGTGGTTGTCCTACAAATAAAATATTACAAGACGAATGATATAAGCGCTTGCGTCTTTTATCTAATAACTTATTGAAAGTGAACTGGCCAAACTTCCTTTCCAACTGTAGATTGAAGCGGTTAGTCTTTTCTCTCCATAAACACGGAACTTGTAGTGGTTAGTATTCAAGTTCCAAAATATATCTGAGCTCAATTTTGGTTTAATAGGATAACCAAGGAACCTTTGAGATTTTAACCGGGTTGATCTTAAACCTAGGAAGATTTTTAATATTGGCTAATCTTAAATCAGTCACGAACTAAGAGAAGATTATCAAAGGTAAATAATCCTTAACCTATATATAGGAACTGATCACGCAATCCCCAATAATAAGCTTTTATTTGGTTTAGCTTAGAACCACATATATAATCTCTATTTGAATAATATTCAACCAAGGTTTATAAACATAGTTACATTGGTGAATTTATACAATTCTACTTTTCTAGAATTACATAGGTGACCTCACCCACAAATGGTACTTTCCTCACTAAATTATGTTTGAAAAATAGTGTCACTGATGTGTTGTTTTTTATTATACTTTTATTTGATAGGTTATATTCTAATCTATTGAGATGCAAAGTAATTTACTTTGTAAATATGATATCACTATGCCAGAAATAACCTACGAAAGCGCTTTTTTTGGGCTTTAAAAGCGCTCTCGTAGGTGGCGCTGCTAAAGGTTTTAGCAGCGCTTTTTGTTCAGAAAAAAGCGCTCTTGTAGGCCTACCTATGAAAGCGCTTTTTGGTAAAAAGCGCTTTCATAGGTAGGCCTACGAGAGCGTTTTTTTCTGAAAAAGCGCTTTCATAGGTGTATTCAGAATGCGTGTCAGGCAATCTAAAGTAGGCCTATAAGAGCGCTTTTTGTTCATAAAAAAGCGCTTTCATAGGTTTTCTACTGAAAAATCTAAAATTTAAAAAATTTCTAAACCTGCATTTTTTTGCAGCAAACCTGTAATTCTTAAACCGGTATTTTACAATCTAATCTAGAAATACCAATATATATTAGTTTTAATCCAAATACCAAATGTAATTCAAATACCAAATATTATATATATATACAAATACCATTATAATCAATTCATATCCAAAATATAACACCATGGTAATTCAATATTAACATGTTTTTAAACGTAACAAAATACACCCTAAGAAATCAGCTATATAACACTAAGTAAATCAATCCTAATCTACATATATATCCAAGGTCCTAATCCTGCAATATGAACATAATAACACGGTCAGTGTTGTATACACAAAACAATATATTCATAATTAACCAATTTTCACACAACAATGTATTCGTACCTTATTATAAGATTCTTAGCTCAATAAAATATTGGCACAACTCCTCTTTGAGTTCTTCCAATTGACGTGGCGAGTAATATGGACAATTGTATTGATCAAAATACTACATTACAAAACAAAATATATGCATGATTTAGTTTA